TCGGTGACGGGAATTCGGTCGACTGTGTATACAGGTCCTTCGTAGGGGAATGACTCGCCGCGTCGATCCACCAACACAAGGTGGGTTTTGGGAAGATTTGCCACCTGCGCCCACCCAGGTCCATCCTCGTGGTAGTCCTGGGTAAATAGCAGCTCTTCGAGTTCCATCGGATCCGCAAATGCAGTCTTGAACGCCTCGCAGACCTCGGAAAACAGCCCCTGGTCCATCATAAAAGGTGCCCAGACGCTCGCCATCTGTGCGGCAATAAAAAAGACGATGACTGCCAGTATCTTCGACATCACGAAACGCCGGAGCGGCTGAAAAATTTTCTTGGAAGCTCGATGCGTTACGTACCAAAGACCAAGGCGACACAAAAGACTATGCCTGAACCAGACTCTCTCGCATTCTTATGCTTTGTGTGAAACGACACTTTTACCGCGGCAATGCGTGACACGATGACTTTTGCATCGTTCTGTCTGCGTCGCCGAGAGAAAACGCCATCAACTTCATCTGCATATACACGGCAGGTTCCTTGACAACCGGGTCTTCTTTTCGGCGGAACCTCCTGTGTCAGGCGGCGATGTGTACCTGCATCCGTCGATTGCAATGAATCGAGGCATGTCTTGGTTGTCTGAAATGGTGACGTTCAGGTCCAGACCGACCATCGATCTGTGCAACATCTCACATGCACAGGTGGAGCCGACACAACATCCGAGGGTCGCGACGGTGGTAGAGCTTCGAAATCTGTAGATTGGAAGAGATGGCTGCTTTCACTCTGGACAGAAGCTGCGTGTGTGTCCATGGCAAAGCACTGAAATCTGCACAACGCTGCAACATGGTATCGTAGACTCCAATGTCGAATTCGAGGAGTTCTTTGTGACAACATGAAGCCCTTCACGATCGAGACTCTAGTACTTGAAGTGCTGCCCGAAATACTTCGAGTAGGGGCGCTGGGGGTTGAGACCATATGGTGTTTCTCGCTGCTGCTCCTGCGAGAGCTGGGCCCAAAAGGGGCCGAGCTTGCCTCTCTTTCTCCATTCTGTGTCTGCTCTAACGATCGAGTCCGCGGTGATTGGTCCATGAATCGAGACGTAGTCGTCGAGTTTGTTCTGATGTGCGTTCTTGAACCAATTGTCGTACAGCGTTGCCCGGTCTTGCAGATGCATGCGTGTCTGGACAAGGTCAGGTCTGAGCTGGTCCCAGGGCACTTGGTTTGGGCGCTCGTTGTTAAGCTTGAGACGGGCGAGTGCCACGAGTTCGTGTACCATTGCAGGGCGTTGGACATCAAACGTCACCTTCCAGACCCGATAGACGTCTCTGCCAGGGTATCTAGAGTTTGTGTGAGGGACACGAATCCTCTTGTAATCTCTACTATCGATTCGATCAACAGCGTACACCACCCGAGTCCGGGGATCCGATCCACCACTCGTCCCGTGTCCTTCCACCCGCAGGGGAAGGTACTTTAGAGGCAGTTCTGTCACCTGCTCCCAGCCCGGCTCTTCCTCGACATAATCGGTCGGGAAGTGCAGCTCTTCCAGCGCCCGTTTCGGTTCAAAAGCGTCCCAAAATTGTGCCTGGATGTCCTGAAAGATGTTCGCGTCCATCAGAAATGGAGCTCGTACAGTCTCCATCTGTCCGATTAAGAGCGTTAGAAGAAGACACAGCGTGAGGGAGCGCATTGTGTGGGATCTGATGATCAAGGATCGCGCCGAAGGATGTCGTTGTCTATGACTTTCGAGGACAAACAGGTTCGGACTGAGAAAAATGAAGATGAGAAAAGTATACACCGGCTGCTGTCAGCAATTCCGCATGTGTTCTAAAGCCTTTTTTTCGACTCATTTGTGGCTTACAGGCGCCGACGACGACTTCACATTCTGCTTCTTTCATTGAACGATAGGAACGGTCCAGGCCGTCAAGAAGGCAACTTTCTTCATCAGCGAATGTGCAAGATTCTTGCTCGAGTTCATTGACGATCTGAGCTGTTTCTTGACTTTTGATCTTTTCTTGTTCAACGTGACAATGTAGGCGCAGAGCAGATGGGATCAAGACCGGGCGCCGACGTCAATGCCAAGCTTCTTTGCAAGGGCATGGAACTCTGCCCGTATGGGCTCCAAATTTTGCGGTTGAGAGGCAAAGTTCTCCAGATTGCCTACACGAGAGGCAGCTGTCTCGGGGCCATAAGTCCTTTCGATGACACTGAAAGGATGAACTCCAAACCAATGACGATAGAGCTGATCGAGTTTGAGGTGGCCGAATCCTTTGGGTAGATCTTTAGCGGGCTTGCGCCAATGAACCTCGTGACTACTGGGTGGCATGTATGCTAGTGCCACTAGCTCGTGCTCCAGAGCTTTGACGTCCGGGGTGAGGTTGATCTTCCAGATTCTGTAGACATGAGTACCGACAACGATACTGTCTCGAATTCGCACCTGGCTATACAATGCGTTTCTGATTTGATCTATCGCATACAGAGTTCTCGTCAGCGGGTGTGGTCCTCCTTCGGCACGAAGGACCATGTAGTCGAGCGGGAGCTCCGTCATACGATGCCATCCATTTACACCTTCGCGATAATCGCGAGTGAATAGAAGCTGCTCCAGATCTCGCTTGTTGCCGTATGCGTCTCTGAACTCCTTGGCGATTCTCGCGAAGAGCAAGCTGTCCATAAAGTAGGGAGCTAGCACTACTTGCAGATATACACCAAACAATAGCAGCAAGCTTGTCACTTTTGGTAGATGCATCTCGGGTTGCGTCGAAACGTTGCTAGTTGGCCCACTATATGATCATTGAGCAGATTTGAGTGATCGTTCAAAGCAGGTGATGAAAAGACAGAAACGAAATATGCCGAGGTAGCTTCGATGAATGCAGATGGTTTTTTGAAGCTCAAATAAATACAAGGTCCTATGACTGTTGCGTAAGCACGAGCAGCTTGAGGGGCGTAGATACGATCGAACGACACAATACGCATGGTGTTCAACCCTTTTTCGGCTTCATCAAGCCAGACCGCATGGTGCTGGGAGGGAAGACGGAAAATGTGGCAATTCATCGCAGTCTTCAGTCTCATGCGTTCTAGATCCATGTTCGGCGACGGTCTGGCTGTGATATGAGCAACCGGCTACCTGTTGCTGCTCTCAGTCCAGGTCGAGATCGTTTGCAAAGTCATTGTGCCAGGCTACGCTCCGAAGGATCACAACAAGATAGATCCGCTCTGGCCTAGACGGCGATGACTCCATGATGCGGGTGATCCGAATTCTCTCAGCTGAGGGGTCGTTCCCGGAACGCAAACTCCTCGGCCCGCAAGCCGAGAACATACTTCCTTGAAGTACACCGGTCACTCTGACTCGAAAGCTGTAAGCCCAAGCGGCACCTTCGACCCCAGTCCTTTTTGGGACTTTTGTCGATGGGATTCATCCGATCGGCTGGGTTAAGATAGGCATTGCAGATCCTCCGTGAGAGAATTCGGTTCATCCGTGGTTCGGTTGTCAGATGAAGGAACGCCTATCGGCAGGCAGACATGTGAAAATCCCGGCTTGCCGTACTCTGATCTCAGCATCTGGGGTCTGCGAAGACGGACACTGTCGGCAGCTCTGAATTCAATCCAGTCTGTGGTGGTCTCTACCCCGTCAAGTTGCTGTGGTCACTTCACTCACATTGAGCTGGAGCCTGCTTTTCCGTCTGCATCGGGTCGAGGACGGGTGCTAGGGCAGAGAGATATGGTACACATGGGATACTGCGCTACTCAATACTATTCCGTCTCTGTCGGGGCCTTCAATGGTACTTCGAGATGATCTGCCAAAAAACGGAGTACGTGTTCCCACATGGTGCTTCCGGCTGACGAGACTGTAGCCACCATCTCCACCTCCTGCTGATCATTTGGGACGGCACGGGATCGCGAGTCCGCAGTCGCTGGCGCATAGGACGCAGTTGCCGTGCGCGTGAGGGTGGGACGAATGTAAGACTTGAAGAGCTTCTGGCGAGTTAGCCAGCCCAGTCTCTCGTCGCTGGCTCGAACTGCTTTGATCAGGTTATAGTGGAATGCATGTGCGGCGAACTTGATTCTAGTGATGGCAAGGAGATCGTGTTCCAGGTCACGATCACCGTCGGTAGTGATCCTCCAAAGACGATAGACATGCTTACTTGGATCTGCTGTATTCTTGATGCGGACCTTTTCGTACGTTGCACGAGACGCCGGATCGACCGCGTAGATTACTTTGGTCCCGGGTTCCGGACCCCCTTCCTCGCGGAGCACCAGGTATTGGCTCGGATGGTTTGTCATATCGAGCCATCCGTCGCCTAGCTCTTGATACTCCGACTCCAAGAGCAGCTCTTCCAAGTGAGGTCCAACCGGGTATGCGTCGTGAAAGGCCTTATCCAGCGTCGCGAACAGTTCGGGGTCCATTGCAAAGGGGGCTGCGACTCCAGCTATGTGGCTCAGAAAGAGCATCAGCGATAGTGCATGTGCGAAAAGCTGCATCCTTCTCAACGACGACGAGCACTGAAGACGACGGGAAGAGTCTTTGCTGTGTGCTCGTGGCCCAGCTACATGTTGAGCAATTTTATACCTCTTTCTCAGGCTGATGGGCTTGAAAGAATAACTTTGATGCCTTTTTTGGGGTCACACTAATACAGAGTTGGAGCGGCTGCACGCCGTCACCTCGGTGATTCATGTCCGGCTACAAGAGACACGAATTGTTCCTCTCTCTTATATTGCGCCCCGCCGATGCCACAAATGAGCCGTTACGAGTTCATTTGGTGGCGGACGTTGAACGTTGATTGGGATCAGAGCCGTAAGGTGGCGAGCCTACTCAAGCTGACAAAAGACATTTTCTCATTCTGTTGGGCCATTTTCATGATTCCACAGCCTGTCAAGTTAGCCAGTATAATTATCCACTACGTCGACTGAAGTCGTCAGTCCAAAGTCCAAGTACGGCATATATGGAGATTGTATAACTCATTTAATATACGTCACCTTCCACCCTGCAAAGTTAGATGTTTTACATGACACTGCGGCTGTTGTGTAGTGGTTTATCATATCGTCTTCCCAGTTGCACATGTTGCATGCCTATTGGTTGACAGACGGAGGTCACGGGTTCGAACCCCGTCGGTCGCATTGTTTTACTTGTCGATTTTTTGTTTACCCTTTTTTGTCCTTTCCAAGAGACTGTGCTCGACAGGTGTGCTCTCGACAGAGGGTCGGTGACGGTACACGAGACTCATGGTAGGCTTACCGAAGTGTGGCATACCGGTAGTGTCATCGATAGGCGCAGATTGGCAGCGTGTGACTTGGACTGAAGTGAGTGTCAGCCGTGCTACTGTACTCTTCTGCATACGAGCCTGGTCGTTTTGCGCGAAGACAACGAGGAGGGAAAAGGGCGGATGTGACATCTTAGACGTACGTCGGATGCACGGCATTTTCGACCTGCATGAGTCTCCACTTTCACGCGCGCATGCCCGGCACAAGTCTCCGGACTTGAGTTACAACCTGGTCACTCCGTCACTAACATTAAAGTACTGGTACAGTAGCAACATTATTCTTGTTTAGCGCCAGATGCCACTGAGAAGCGGGACAGAGACACACCTGGTGATAGTGAGAACAAGGGTGGCTGGCAAGACGGTACGCTTCCGTGGACAAAGGGAGCGTGGAAGCAGCAAGTCGGAGCACGGAGCCGTGTCGGGTTCTAGACAATCGAGAATCGGAGAGGGGCGGCAAGCGGCAAAATAGGGAGTGCAGTAGTGAATCACGGTACAATACCGTGGCCGTATGTGCTTTAGTACAGTACAGTGCAGTATAGAAAATGTAGAGATAAATTACACAGTGCCGAACGTCGGCTGGTCACTTTGACTTCGGCTTGGCATCGGCCTTACCCTTTTCTTTTTCCTTTTCTTATTACTCGAAGAGCGGGAGACAGAGAGAAAGAAAAGATATACAATACAGGGTCAAAGCGTCTTGATAGTAGAGGACCCTGCCTGACAGGTCTCGCTTCCACGCAACTATTCGAACGCTGTGCTACTGTACATGCTACGGTACAGTTGAGTACAGGACAGTACTGGCTGCTCTCCCGTTGGCATCACTCTCCGATCCTTTGTTTTCTGTTGTGCGCGGCTATGTCCTTGTGACGAAACACTGCCTGCTGAGTCGGTGCAGCCTTTCCATTTCTCTACGCCAACACCACCACTTGTCGAACTACGACCCTTCGAACGTCCGTAGCAAGGCACATACGCTATCGTCGTGGCACGTCTCCGGTCTGCTGACTGCCCACAAGATGATCGACCATCTCCTCGGCAGGCCGTCGACCAAGCTCAAACGCTTCCAGATCTTCAGCGTCATCTTTTTCTGGCTTTGGTTCCTCGCAACTGGAAAGCGCGATGGTCCACACCCCTTGATACGCAGGCTCAGCCAAAAGTTTAACCGTTTCTCGCCATGGCAGATTGTCGTCTTCAGCTCGGTCGGCATCTACGCCATTCGCCATCTCGACTCGCTTCTCGGCTTTGGCGCCCCCGAGCCTCTCGCACGCATGTACTCGCGCAACTTCTACCGCACCACCTGGATCGTCACCGCCCTCGATGCTGGCTTTGCAACGGCCATGCACATCCGACCCAAGTGGCTCCGCGATCTCATGAGCCTCATTTTCTCCGCTTACTATCTCGTCTATGCCAACGAGGCCGACGAAAAACTTCGCAAGTACCGCGCCTTTTGCACCGTCCAAATGATGCGCACCACCTGGGAAAAGACCACCAACCCCTACATACGTGCCGTCACCTGGTTCCATCGTCCCTCTCTCCCAATAGCCCGTCCGCTTCTTATTCCACGCCCCTCGATCGGAGCGCATCACACCCGTCCGAGCAAGGCCTGGCTCTTCTACGCTAAAAATGAACGCCAGCTGCGCACCGAAGAGGAGCTTGTGCTCGACTTTTGCGGCGGGGGCTACATCTGCATGAATCCGCAGCACCACGAAGAGCGACTCCGCCAGCTCGCAAAGCAGATGCAGAAGCCTGTCCTCGCCGTCGACTACTGCAAGGCGCCCGAATATCCCTATCCCTTTGCCCTGGAAGAGTGCTTTGACCTCTACCGCACTCTCCACGAAACTGCCGGCAAGGTTATTGGCATGTCGGGATCGCCCAACTTTCGCATCATCCTGAGCGGCGACAGTGCCGGAGGCAATCTTGCCACCGGGGTTGTGCTCAAGATCATCGAGTATCCGCAGACCCGGATTCAGATGGCCTATGCTGCGCAGTCTACATCGTCATCCTCGCCCGCTGCAGCAGCCTCTGCACTTGGCTCAGCAAGCAAGGATGTGCGCAGACCGCCACCACTTCCCAAACCGATTGGCGTTCTGCTCAGCTACCCGAGTTTGAACTTTGGCTTCTCGAGCTGGATGAAGCCCGAGCATCTGCGCCTCTTGCGCCAGCAGAGCGAAGTCAACCTCGACAATCTTGCGCAACAGGGCAGCCTCACCACTGCCTCGTCTAGCTCCTCAATCCGCTCACAGCGCCGTCGCTCGGCTGTCAACCTCGCCGCTCGGGGCCAGCAAGACCGCAGGCGCTCCTCGGAAGCCAAACGGGCCAAGAGCAAGGAGCGGAGTCGCGACCCCCGCTCCTACCACTCGCTCACCGAGACTGCCGAGCTTCATCTCGACGAGCGTGCCCGCTATGCCGAAGTCGAGTCCACCTCGGACGAGAACAGCGGTGGCACATCTGGCTACAATTCGGACTCGCCCTACGACCGAATTTGGGCTGAGTCCACCCTCACGCCATCGTGGGAGAAGAGCGGTCTCCCCTGGGGTCAGGTGCAGCGCCAGGCTCAACTGGACCAGATCGCCGACCGTGAGGAGCGACGTGCACAGGCCAAGTTTGAGAAGGAACAAAAGGCGCTCCAGGAAGCCGCCCAGGCAGCAGACGCCCGGAATCGCGACCAGAAGCGCGGACCCTTCAACACACGCCTCACAGTCACCTCGATGGCCGGATACTTTCAAGACCGCATCATTTCGCAGGGCATGCTGCGTGCCATGGCCATTCTCTACATTGGTCCAAAGCGCCAGCCGGATCTCGATCACGACTACTTCCTGTCGCCGGTCGTGGCGCCTGCCCACCTGCTGGCCGAGTTCCCGCCGGTGCTGTTTATTTGCGGCGAGAAAGACCCCCTGTGTGACGACACTGTCGTGATGGCGGGTCGGATCCGAGAGGCGAAGCTGGCCAAGAAGGCCGAGATGGAGCGCAGAAGGGCTGTGGCGTCGGCCAGATTTGGAGAGGGTCTGAGAACGACTCCGATCTCGACACCCAGTATTCCCGTCGACCCCATCGAGAGCGAGACGGCCGAGGACTGGGTTCAGATGCGTATCATCGAAGGCTGGAGCCACGGATTCCTGCAGATGTCTTCTCTGATGCCTGAGGCCAAGCAGGTCATTGCCTTTCTCGGAACCTGGATGTCTTTGGTGTTCGAGGAGTACTCGGACAAGCTGTTTGAGGAGCAGGAACAAGCAGAGCTGCAGGCGCAGACCCGAGCACAGCAGGATGCGCAGCGACGGGCTGGGCCTCACGCCGTTGCCTCGCCGTCCAAGCTGCGTCCGACCTCGTCTGCCTCAGCAGCTCCTGCAGCAGATGTACCCATACGAAATATGCCGAGCGGCTCTAATGAGCCCATACAGACCACCTCCTCGCTCAAGCCGCAGACGGCGACTTCTGCAGCTGCCAAGGGCAACGCAGCACGTCTCGAGAGCGGCAACGCAGCACGTATCGACATCAATTCAGCAGTAGCCGCAAACGGAAGAAGCACTGGCTCTCTGCATCCAGGTACGAATGTTGCGCAGGACCACGATGCTGACGACGAGGATGATGACGAGGACGACGGCGCACTGATGGTGATCCCCAAGGGCGGACGTCGACTCTCTTCCAATCGCGCCTTTAGCCCTGCATCGGGCAGTCCTCGACTTGGCACCGTGGGCAGCGGTGGAGTCAACCCCTCCTCCACAACGGCGAACGGCGGCTCTCCAGCTCGGAAGCTGCGGGACTTGGCAGGCTCTCCGGTTCCGGCACAGATCGAGCTGTTGCGTGCCGAGACTCGAGAGATGTCGGGCGACATTTCGGGCTCCGTCGGAGTCAGTGGTGGCCGCAGTGGTGCTGCTCGAGTCGCGAGCGGCGCCTCGATGAGTGATAGCGAGGCACCTCGGGGTCGAGTGGCTTCTTCAGGCTCTACTTCGGTACCGGGGCGCGCAGATTCAGATACGCACCTCTCGCGCCCGGCTCTGCAGCAGTCTACAGGAGCAAGTACTTCGTCGACCCCCCGCCGCTCGTCCAAGAATGGCCCCACGCAACTGGATCAAAAATACCGCGCTATGCTGGTGGAAGAAACCTCGCTGCTGGCAAGACGCCGAGACGACGTGCTGTTCGGTCTGGAGAACAACACGACCGTCGTCAACTCGGACGACGACGACGACCTCCTCGCCAAGAACGCGGCTGGCTCGGCCTTCACAAAGTACGGGTCCGAGACCATGGACTCTGTCGTCTCCCGTGGTACTCTTGCTAGCGAGACGGACGATGCGGAAGACGGCACCTCCACCGCAGCTGTGGACGCGAATCGGCCGCCGGGCATCCCGACTCACATCCCGTCGGCGGCCACCGCTTCGACCACCCCCACAACCACCAAAGTCGGATCAGGTGCGTAAGCTGACCCGGGGACTTTCTGGGCCAGTCACGTCGCCCGTACCTCGATTCCCAGCCCCAATTCCAACCACTTTGTCTACTCTTTCCTGTCCAATGTTAAGCATCTGCATATCCATATCTTGTTTTCCTTCATTGCCTCTGCATAGCCTGTTCATAAACACATTCCTCTGCATTCGAGACTTTGACTACCCATGATTTCCTCTTTGTTCGTGTTTCCGAGCGTCGAGTTTTCGAGTTCTCGAGTCTTCGAGTGTTGTGCAGCGTGGTGTTTCTGCATCTGCGTTTCGTGGCTCAATGTTGCAATGTTGGGATATTGGGATGAAATTTGTTGAGGCAGACTAGACACACATGATCACATCGAGAAGGGAAGGAAATCAAGAGGCAAAGAGAGACGAGAATTGTATGACAAATGACAAAAAAAAAAGGGACAAGGAGTGGAGGGAATGATAA